TGATTATGGGGTAGAAACTGCTAGGCATGGTATGGGACGTGCCCAAGTGGAATTTGCCTTATAATCGAGCCACACGCGACTGTGATGCATTGATGCATGGGAAATCTCATTGCACGTTCTGGGTATGTGATATGTTTGATGCATCGTTGTGACATGTGACTATCTATGTTATGCATAATATGTGTGCTAAGGCAAGGTAAGGATGCCTGTGGTTGGTTAATGATTTGTGTCCAGTGCATGGTCGCGTGATTAGGAACCCCCAAGGTGAGTTGGCCTTCTAAACGGGGCTTAGGCGTTAACTTATTGAGATTTTTATCTCATTTGTGGTTGTTAAACATTTTTCAGGCTCTTAGCATGTTGATGCACCCAGTATGGTTCGGGGTGCCTGGAAGCTGACTTTTGGTGAAGTAGATTGACCCCAACCTGACATCTTTTTGTAGACTTTTATGGAAATGCCCGAAGTGGGCTTGTAAAAATGTTCCCAGGGGTTAATTAAGTAAATGTTAAAATGGTGTTTTGATTTCAATGTTGTAAACCGTTTTCCTATCTATCCTTGTTTATTGTTATTGTCTGGGTGAATCTTTGTTTAGCTTCTGCATGCGTAATCAAAAGATAAAATGTTGGGTCGACGACGCGTCCTGGGACATCGCATCATAATGACCATTGCAGGATGTTGCGCGCTTGCGGCGTTCGGGGCGTGACAGTAAGTGCCGCGAGGCTTTTTTTTTGGTGAGTAAATCGGTGGCTAATTAGCCACGAAAATAAAGTTTCGACGCAAATACGGACTTTATTTTATTTTCGTGGCTAAATCCATGGCTAATTAGCCACAGATTAAATTCATGGCTAAAGTCGTGGCTAATTAGCCACGAAAATAAAATAAAGTCCGTATTTGCGTCGAAACTTTATTTTCGTGGCTAAATCGGTGGCTAATTAGCCACGAATTTAAGTCGTGGCTAATTAGCCACAGATTTAGCCACGAAAATAAAATAAAGTTCGAAAAGGCGTCGAAACTTTATTGATTATTTATTTATTTTATTTTATTTTATTTTTGGTAATCAAGGTGTCTGGGCCAGCTTGAGCGCATCTCGACTATTCCTCGGGGGAGACTAGCACAGCAACCCACCGCCATGGTCCCCCAATGTCGAAACTTTATTTTTGTAGCTAATTCCGTGGCTAATGAGCCACGAATTTAGCCACGAAATGAATATGTGGCTAATTAGCCACGGATTTAGCTACGAAAATAAAATAAAGTCCAAAAAGGCGTCGAAACTTTATTTTCGTGGCTAAATCAGTGGCTAATTAGCCACGAAATGAATACGTGGCTAATTAGCCACGGATTTAGCCATTAAAATAAAATAAAGTCCGAAAAAGCGTCAAAACTTTATTTTCGTGGCTAAATCGGTGGCTAATTAGCCATGAATTTAGCCACGAAAATAAAATAAAGTCCGAAAATGCGTCGAAACTTTATTTTCATGGCTAATTCCGTGGCTAATGAGCCACGAATTTAGCCACGAAATAAATACGTGGCTAATTAGCCACCGATTTAGCCACGAAATGAATACGTGGCTAATTAGCCACCGATTTAGCCACGAAAATAAAATAAAGTCAGAAAAGGCGTCGAAACTTTGTTTTCGTGGCTAAATACGTGGCTAATTAGTCACGAATTTAATCCGTGGCTAATTAGCCACGGATTTAGCCACGAAAATAAAATAAAGTCCGAAAAAGCGTCGAAACTTTATTTTCGTGGTTAAATCCGTGGCTAATTAGCCACGGATTAGATTCGTGGCTAAATTCGTGGCTAATTAGCCACGGATTTAGCCACGAAAATAAAGTTTCGATGCCTTTTGGACTTTATTTTATTTTCGTGGCTAAATCCGTGGCTAATTAGCCATGTATTCATTTCATGGCTAATTAGCCATGTATTCGTGGCTAATTAGCCACCGATATCGCCACAAAAAAGGAACATAGTAGGGCAAGCGTCGTGAGGCTTTTTTTGTGGCTAAATTCGGGGCTAATTAGCCACGAATTTAATCCGTGGCTAATTAGCCACGGTATTAGCCACATAAATAAAGTTTTGATGCTGCGACTGTGACTGACTTTATTTTATTTTTGTGTCTAAATTCTTGGCTGATGAGCCACGAATTTAGCCACAAATGAAATCCGTGGCAAATATTTCCGCGCAATGCCGCCACAAAAATTCGTTGAAAAAGTCTTTGCGCGCAAAAGATAAAAATAAGAACCGGTTCTTAGAACAAGAGCCACTTTTGAGCAACATCACTCGCTTCCCCTCTTCAGAAACTCTAACAATCATCTTCGTCTTCATCGTCTTCTCTTGCAGTTGTCTATGTAACATTCTCAATTTTAGTCCCTGGGAAATGGCTATGGTTTAAGTTTGGTAGTTTTCCAATTGGAACCAAGTTTTACTCTTGTTTTGGAAAACCTAGTTTCAGATCCTCTGTACCCCTTCGTTTTGTTATTTTTATGGAGACTTTTGTGATCCGAATTTCCAAACACTTTATTATTGAAAGTTGTTCCAAACATCTTGAAGTTTTACATACTTTAATTTCAGAATTTTTGGACTTGATATGAGTAGTACGATGGCTTGATTTTCGGACCGTGTAAAACTGCCCAGAATGGGTATTTCGGTGATGTTCACACTTTATCGATTTTCTACAAGCTTTTCTGGGCCCATTTTGGAAAATTTTCCTTCATAAAAGTTGTTGAGAACTTCTTTTTCTATAACATATATAAATTTGGGAATTTTTTGAGATGATTTGGATTCTGGAAAGAGCTTACTTTGAGAAACAAGAATTCTGTTCCAGTGAACTGTTTTTAGTCTGTCTTTGAGCTACTAAAAATGGTGTTTACAGAAGATTCAGATTTCGTGTTCCACATAAAAAATGTTTGTTAAGGCCTTGTTTATGACATATTCAAATTTGAGAATTTTCGGAGTCCATTTACTATGTTTTCAAGTCCGATTTCGTGAACAGTGCAAAGCTGTCCGGTTTTGTCAGATTTCAAAGATTTATCAATTTCTATATGAGAACGTTGGAATCCCGACTTGATGTCTTTTGGTGATATTTGAGGACATTCCCGCACCGAACCTCGGGTTAAATGAGATTATTATACATGTTTTGTCGTGGAAAACCCTCGGAAATCATGGAATTGATTAAGATGCGAGTTTGCGACTTAAATGTCGATTAGTTGTTATTGTGCAACCCGATGGTGCTGAGTTATTGTGAGCCGAACCGACATTTCTAGTAGGCCAAAATAGGCTCCGCGTTGGTTTTATTGGGAAGAAACTAGAAGATAAGGCTTTGACACAGTCAAAGCTTCTCCTTCAAGTTTCATTTATTAAGGTTCATCATGACATGCATTTATGAACAAAAACTTTGAGGGCCCCTTCATCATGACTTGCATTAATTAGTTGGACTTTGGAGGCACCACCATCATGACATGCATTAATAGCCATAAGACTTTAGGGGAATTTCATCATGTTATTTTGTCCATTGTCCATTAATGCAAAGATTTTCAAAATCAAGTTATTAATGGCATTTCATCATGGCTTTTGACTCTTATTCATTAATGCAAAGATTTTCAAGATCATTTCATTAATAGCCAAGATTTTCAAAATCATTTCATCATGACTTTTGACTCATATTCATTAATGGCTAAGATTTTAAGAAGATTTGGTAATGATGGCCAAATCTAGCTATTAATGAAGGAAGATTTGGTAATGATGGCAAAATCTAGGAAGATTTTGTAATGATGCTATTTTGTCTCTTCTTTGCTTGGGCTATTATAAATAGGGAGAAAGAGAGAGAGAGAGAGAGAGAGAGAGAGAGAGCTCTCACGCCACTTCTTCTCCATTCTCACGCCACTCTCTCCTCATTCTCACGCCACTCTCTCCTCATCCTTACGCCACCACCATCTTGGTTCTTGCTTTCTTGCTTCTTGGTTCATGCCAAAGAGAAAGAGTGGGAGAGGAATAATCACCCGAGATTCGCCAAGATCTGTTTGCTCACGTGTTCAAGCCTGAGAATCGCCGAGACTCCCGTGTTCCTTTCTTGTTCTAGTTTTATTCGTTGAGTAAGTGAATTCCCTAATATCGGGAAAAGATGTTGAGATACGTTATGACACAGTTTGCTTGGACCGTTTCTCGGTCATTTGGTTGGTCGTAGTTGGTTCATTTCCTTGGTTTGATCATGTTTCATGTTTGACATTTGTTTTGGAGATAGAACCGAGCCTTGGTTGGTAAAGTATACATGATATGGCCATGTGTGATGTTCTCTTGTTTGAACTTTATTATTGATCTGTCATCGATGCGGGTGCGGTAAGGGCCGACTTATGTTAACGGCGATCGATATATCCTTACTTGATATTAGTATTTTCACTTGCTGAGTCTCCCCGACTCATCCCCCGTTGTTTCCCTTTTTCAGGTCCGTAGGATGGCATCTCCCCTAGCCCGCGTTGGCAATCCCGTGGAGCAGAGAGCCGAAGTGCTCACCGTGATAGATGTTTGAGAAGACCGTGCCTACCGCCGAATCACGACGCTTGTGATGTTCGATGAGGGCCTCACGGACTTGGTGCCTCATCCGTACGTGGCGTGGTATCACTACGCGAACGGAGAATGTGTTGATCCCTATGTGGGTTCAACGGTGCTTTGGCGGTGCGGGCAGGCCGGCTTCGGGACAAGGCCACGGGTGGGGAGTGAGATGGCCAGGCGGAAGAGATCGGGGTGGATATGAAGAAGCGAGAAGCGAGAAGCCGTAGTTGGTATAGGATAACCCAAGTCAAGTTTTGCCATCCTTAGTTGGCCTGTATGTAATATGTTCGCATGCGTTGTAAACATAAGGTTTGCTCATGATACTTCTTGTCTTATTCCGCTGTGTGTATTGATTGTGATTGTCCCGAGATATGCTTCCGGTTGTGTGTAACGAAAAATAATAATGAATGGGACGTCACGTTTATGACCCCGAGGTAGGGGCATTACAGTCTACCCCCAAAATAACTACCCCAACATCACTCGCTCGGCTCATTCAAGCAATTGCTCTGTTTTTCCCCACTTCTTGTGGCTAGCTGGTGTTCGCTTCGCTACATCACCTCTAGCTGTTGAGGCCTTCGTCACTCCGGCGCGACTGTAGGCAGCTCTTGCTTCTCGTTCGATTTTTTTCGTCTCCTGTGACCCGCCAGCTCTCTCTCGGCTCTTAGTTCACTCTCCCGTCCGCCCGGTGAGTCTCGCACGATCGTATTTTGTCACTCGTCTCCTCACCCGAGCCCGATTAGGGCGGCCCTCGCGTAGATCGACGAGCATCTCTCTCGATCTGCGCGAGGGCCGCCCTAGTTGGGCTCGTGCGAGCGTCACCCTCATGTTCGTGTGCTATTATGCCCTCGTCTTTGCGCTCAAGTTCTTTGTGCTATTCTGGGTTTGGAAGAAGGAGAGCTGCGAATCTTTTCATTGGTAACCACGGATTTTTTTCTCTGTTGTTTCGATTCACTTGCTGTTGAGGTTATTAGTTATGTTCATTGGAATGTCTGTGCATAGGACATATGTTTGATGAAATTCCTCAAAGAAATTTCACTTCGTAGTTAATCAGCAAAAACAAATCCATAATGGAACTAACCTTTGGAACAACATAAGGAGCGAAAGGACCCAAAATAGACTGCACTGCATCACAGTCATAGAATAAGTCCTTAGGACAGTGAAGTTTGTCATCCATGCTTGAAACAACCCGTGGAATACCACATATGCTATTTAGGAATGAAGATTTGAAGGGTATTCTATTCCCATTGTACTTATCGTTAAAGTAACCTACGTTTTTGTCACTGAAGCAATCATCCCACAATTTATCGAAAACCTCTTAAGAGAAATTTACAACCAACACGATTTCCACTTGCTGACAACAAGGACAATAAACGGTCCAAATCAGTGGATTCCCAATCTTCAGCCCAACTCGCCATTCCCTACAAGTCCTCGCAGGGTTCAATGCGTGGAAAAGTTTTGTCATTTTGTTATTTCTCAATTTTTTTAGAAACAGATCACTATTTTGTTTATGATTGATACTAGTTGCCTAATAAGCAAATAAAAATTTTAGAATGAGGACCAATATGTTAGGATTGGTACCTTTTGGCTGCTTGTCTTTCCATGTTGTTTTTAGACTTGTTCACCTCTGAAGATGAACTGTGATACCATCTTCGTTTGACCAACTTTACAACTGGAAAGGGAAAGGTAAATCTAGGAGACTCAAATGTCTGTCCCCTGGAGGTTTTGATGTGCAGCATCGTTCGCAAAATGGGCTATGGTGATGGTTTCAAATTGGTTCCTCAGTACATTAAGTAGCTTATTGATCCACAAGATGCAATACAGCCCCCCTAGAAAAAAAATATATGTTTTCAGCATTCACCGGCCTATTGTTTTAGTGCTGGAGCTTTGCTTTAAACTGGACATATATGTTGTGAATGTGTTCGGAAGGAGGAATCGTTGTTCTCTCTGTAAAATTTAGTTGTGGCAACAAGCTAGTCTCTCTGGTATTGTTGTTTGTTGATCGAAGTTCTCCCTACCTTGCTTTATTTAGAACAGAGGTTTCTATTTTTTGATTGCCAAATATGCTCTCATTTATTTATATCTAGGTTTGAAAATTGAAACCAACAAAAAATAGGCAAGAATATCATGTCATGTAATATGCTCCCCTTTATTTTTCGTGGAATCTGATGTGGTTAAGATTTCAATAGGTTCCTTCGATGCCAGAGCTTGGTATTTATCAGAGGCGATAGCAAGTTTGTTTCATTTTCTCAAGTTTATCTCTTGCTCTCTGAAACAAAATGGCAAGCTTCATGACGTACGTCATTTTGTATCCCTAATACATGTTCATATTTTTTAATATATTTGTCTAACATTCTTACTTGTCAGTATAAACGTGGAGGTCACATGCGTGGTACGGTATCACAAAGAAGACCAGCCCATTCCCCTTCCTCGTCCTCGTCCCCGGCCCTTTCCTCTTCCCCTGCCCTTTCATCTAACCCTCAACCACTACATGTTGATGGACAACATGGACACATTGGCCCATCCTCCAAACCTCAAGAACATATTAGGGGACAACTTGGAGATATGCGAACTGAATTTACTTCAGTTCCATCTCTTTTAGTTCCATCTCCTTCGATTGCATCTCCTTCGGTTCCACCTTCTTCTTCAGTGCAACACTCGAATGATGAAGAAGATAGCCGATTCATGATATGGCCATGTGGAGATTCGTAAGTACTTCATTTTTTAACGTATATGTAAACTATGGATGTCAACTGAATTTTCTATGCTGCAAATTATCCGTATGCTTCATTGTTTCATTGTCCATATTATTATAAGCTATTTGCAGATTCACGGATGCTACCTATGTTGTGAGGGAACTTAATAAAATAGTCAATAACTGTTGGATGGGGCAGTATATTAGTTTCAGCAGCGCTCCAAAATAAGTAAAGAATTTGTGGTGGAATGAGTTCAAGGTAAGTTTTGTCATTCTATTTTCTCACAAACTGAGTTCGGTGTAGCATACTGATGGTCAAGAATGAATTTTGTCACGAATTATTTGGTGCATGGTAATGGATATGTGACCTGTGACCCTCATAATAACTTTCGGTTGTTTTTCTATTGATTGTAGTGGAAGTTCAGGTGGGATGAAATGGAAGAGAATGAAGTTAGAAGAATTTTTAAGAAGAAAGCCGGTGATCACATGCAAAATGTGATGAATAAAGCAAAGAGAAATCAACGAAAGCCGGATTTTATTACAGCTGACAATTGGACGGAAATTACAAGAACTTGGGAACCTGAGAAGCATAAGCAAATAAGTGAACAGAATAAGAAGAATCGAGCTTCTAGTTCTAGTGAAGGGTCTGCCACATATGCCGGGGGCTCTATCAACATCGGGAAGCATAGAAAAAGATTGGTAAGTTTGTTTAAACATGTTGTAAGTTAATTTAATTCAATGATTACTCATTTATGTTTATATTTTGTAGGAAGATGAATTGGGGACGGAACCGACATTTACAGCTACATTTGAACGAACATTCCAGAAAAAAGACAAGACGTGGACTGGCGATCGAGCAAAAGTTATTAAGATATGTAAGGTTATACTTTGGACTTTATGGAAACTATAATGAAAACCATGAATGCTTTTAATACTTATGGTAGTTATATATATGAATTTATTTTATTTTCATTTATATTGTTAATGTAGGAAAAATATGATGAACTTTTAATGAGCACTGCTAGTGATGGTGATGGTGGTGATGGTGTTGCTACGTCTGAACCATCGGTTGACAGTATGGCATTATGGCTAGAGGCATCGGGTGGGATGAAAGGAGGAAAAATATTTGGGAGGGATCCTTGTCAAGGGCATACACAATGAAGGCTGCTGCAACTTCATCCTTCAATGCGGCTGTTTCAAGGAGGACACGACATGAGGAGCAAATGACCGAAGAATTGAGCCAATTGAAAGATTTACTTGTACAAAAGGACGAAGAACTCAAACATTTACTTGTACAGAAGGACGAAGAAATAAGAGGAATGAAACAACAAATGCAATTGATCTTGCGACACCTCAACCTCGATCACGATGAGGTTCCTCATGTACCTCCCACTAATCCAATAGGTGATGGGCACAATGGTGAGCCACACAATGATAATGAGATTGCTGATGATGATGATGATGATGATTTTATTAGCAGTCCTTGCTAGTTCATTCTCTTCGGGGGTAAGCTTATGAGGACCAACTTACAACAATTACTTTCTGTGCACAACTTTCGTACATGTCTGTACAATGCTTGCGAAAAATTGAAAATTTGACAAAAGTCACTGTTCTTTGTTCAGAAAATCATGACAGTTCAACATTGTAGAAATACGTGCCTTATTTGATTTCAAATTTTGATCATATTTGCAGATGGGAGAAGCTGAGTTTCACATGTTGTACAATTGAACTGTGATTCCTTTTATTGCATGTTCTCAAGTGGACATGTTTCAAGTAAAGATGCTAATTTTTAAATGTTTTGAAGAGAATGATCTATCTTTTACATTTCTGAGTGGCCACACAAATTGAGAAATTTGACTTTTGATATGTCATTCTTGTGGATGAGTTATATCCATTGTCAGTAACATAATATCTCAAAGTAAAACATGAGAAGCTTTACATGCTGAATAATCAATTCATAAATTTGATACACTATTATTTGAAGTCAGGTTAGATTAGGGGAGCCTGGATACAAGGAAAGGTATTATGCAGAGAAATTTCATGCGTCAACTTCGGATGAGATAGAGAGTTAAAGAAGGAAACGGTACGTGTTTTTTTGTATCTTGAAGCTTTCAGTTTACTTTATTTAATATCAATATTATTTCTCGTAATTATTTTGATTTTATATTGTCTTGGTAACTTAGAATTTATATGTTTTGAAGTGTTATGTGCTTACTTCGCTTGATTTAATTTCTGTAACATGGATTTAGTTAATTTAGATGGTAGGGCAGTCTTAAGACTCTCAATGTCTTAATAGCATACCTTTACATTTAGATGTTTCCTTCAATTGCAAATCTGTGTGGATGTGGAAGTTCTGTATGAAGTGTTCCTTTTTATGGGGACTTACAACATAGAAGTTCTGGATTTTAATTTTTGCATTGCTGGGACTTATAGTTGTTGGTCTGGCAACGCAGAATGCGGATGCCACCTTACTGGCTGAACAGCTCCCAGATTGGGATCTATGGGAAACCAGCTCCAGAAGATTTCTCTGCAGATTACGAACACTTGAAACGAGTAGTGAGTGGCATGTACATGTCGGGGCTTGGAATTAGTTGGTCCGGCGTGAGAAATGTTATGGACATGAGAGCTGTCTATGGCGGGTATGATATGCTTATATTTTAATCTTCTTTAAGGTAAAATTCAGATGAATGTCTCATGAGAGCTTTCTCCCGCTTCCTTGCAGATTTGCTACTGCACTGAAGGATCTCCAGATGTGGGTGCTGAACATGGTAAATGTTGACTCACGAGATACGCTTCCCACGATTCGTGCGAGTCCTTCAGCACGTACCCTAGAACCTATGATCTGCTGCATGCAGATCATCTCTTCTCCAAGCTTAGGAAGAGGTATGCAACTGGACCCCGTAGTCCCCACACTCTCTCTCTCTCTCTCTCTCTCTCTCGTGGTCCTTCTTAAACTCTACTTGAATTTGTCTGTTGAAGGTGCAAGCTTGCACCGGTAATGGCAGAAGTTGATCGAATCGTGAGACCTGGAGGTAAAATAATAGTCCATGATGAGTCCAATGCAATAGGGGAGATCGAGAACTTACTTAAATCACTGCATTGGGAGGTCCACTTAACATTCTCCAAAGACCGAGAAGGGATTCTCAGTGCACAGAAAGGTGATTGGCGGCCAAGCATATACACAGCTACTTCCTAATTATTAAGGCAAGTGCCCTTGATTTTGTGTTGCAAGAAGCAATAGGTACACTTTTTTAGCTATTGGTGAATATCTTTATTTATGTATCCACATTTCATCAGGTGTCGACAAAAGTGATTGTTCCTGGTGTCTTGCAGAGTACCAAAGCTGCACATTTTATGGTTGTCCCGCATCCTTTCAATGTATTAAATGATGTTCATTAATGCTTAGCTACCTCTATGAATTATAAGATTGGATATCCAATAGCATCATGTGAAACTTTGCAACTTTGCACATATCATTATCTTTTGCAGACTACCATCTACCTCTATGGTTGTCTTGTGTCCTTTGATTATTTTGAATGTATTACATGATGTTCATTAATGCGTACCTACCTCTATGGTCATACAAGATTTGATTGCCCAAATGGTGTTCTATGCTTGAAACATGTATGAACGTCATTGTGGGGTGTAAATTCGGAAAATGTGCTGATTCGGAGGGCTGTTTATGTTGGAACTCCACTATTGTAGATTCTTTTCGGAGCTACAATACCTCCATCATCACGCAGCAATTGATTCAAGCATAGGTCTTAATCAATGTTAAATATATATTTTAGCAATTAATTTTGCTGCTAATTAGATTTAAAATCGAAATCGTCCCTAAACAATATTTGTCGCAAACTTACTAACAAAAAAAAATTTTCTTGGCAAATTAGCGACGAATTTTGCCACAAATAGATTTCGTCGCAATTTAGCGGTAAAAAAAAGTGTCTTGGAAAATTAGCGACGACTTTTGCCATGAATACAGTTTCGTGGCAAATTAGCGACGAGATTTGCCACGAATAATTAGCGACGAATTTTGCCATGAATACAGTTCGTGGCAAAATTAGTGACCAATTTTGCCACGAATACAGTTCGTGGCAAATTAGCGACGAATTTTGCCACGAATAGAGTTCGTGGCAAAATTAGCAATGAATTTTGACACGAATAATTAGCGACGAATTTTGCCACGAATACAGTTCGTGGCAAATAGCGACGAATTTTGCCACGAATAATTAGCGATGATTTTTGCCACGAATAAATTTCATGGCAAATTAGCGACGATTTTTGCCACGAATAATTAGTCATGATTTTTGCCACGAATTCTCTTTCCGTGGCTAATTTAGCGACGAAAATTGCCACGAATTTTTTTTCGTCGCAATTTAGCGACGAAAATTGAAATTTTTTCGTCGCAAAAATTTGCGACCCCGAATTAGCCACGAATTTTTTTTCGTGGTTAATTTTGTCGCAAATTCTTTTAGCCACGAATTTTTCTAAATTTTTCATGGCAAAATTCGTGGCAAAAACCTTATTTTTTTTGTAGTGTTCCAATCACAACTGGATGATTTGAGTACTCTTTAAGTTCTATCATCAACCATAGATGCGTCGACGAAGTAAGCAAGATGAATTTGTAAATGTGTTAAGATGTTTCCTGCATCATGTTGCTCGCCGACTAAAATGACAGGAGAACTTTATTTTTTGTCAAGAGATTGAAGAAGAAGGCTCAATGAGAGATCTTGAATTGGCTTTTCTCAGCCCCTCTTTTTTCATGCGAAGACTGGATTGAGTGTGCTTCGGATGTTAGAGCCTGTGATGGCCTCCTCTACAAATATATACATCGGAAGGAAAGCCGCTCCTACCTAATAGCAAGGCGGATGGGGAGTACGCAGGCGAACAAGCACAGGGGCTTCTAGTAGTTATAGCTGAGGTAACTAGATGAGCCGTGGATGGAAAAGTTAGTGCTGGGTACAAGCAACGAGATGGAAGTAGAAGCGTTCGAGTGACGATGGGATGGGAGATGTCGGTCTACGGGGAAGTCCTTTAAGAATATAGATCACAGGAGCACCCAACTATGACAAGGCCCTCTTCAGGGAAAAGGATTGCTTGCTTATCTTTTTGATTCAATTCAAACCCTTTAACCCTTCTTAGGCTGCTTGCAACTACGAGGATTCTGATTGATTTTAACATTTTCTAGGAATAGCGAGTCCCAGAGAACCAAGCCTTCCCGAATCGCATAGCAACACCTGATGAAAAGGGGACGGGGAAAGCTACAGTCCAGATTTTTCCCCGATCACCAGTTGTTACTCCACACCGAGGATTACCGGCGCAGGAAGATTGTGGTGTAGTAACAGCAATCCATTATCATATGAGGCCGCCACGTTGATTGGCAAAAAGAATAGGACATTCCATACAAACCTTGTTCGTTGATATCACAAGGGCTTGAAGAGGAATTGCCCTCTTACTTCTTCCCTCAAGCTTTCCCGAGTTAATCCAATGCTACATCCATTTGCGATTCAATTGATGCTAATTTGGCTACTAATGAACGAAGGTTAGAAAACAATTTGAAGCTAAGACAAGAAGGAACAGGTGGTGGTTCGAGTCTAAAATATTGCTTTGCATAGAATATTTTACACATCGAAGCACTATTTGCTTTAAATAAAAGCTTTTCGACTCAAGTTTCTTTGCCTCGATGCACTATTTTTAAGGCAAAGCATTCAAAAACTCACTCGAAAAAAGTTGGGGGCAATAGCTTTATTTGCTTTGGACCAAGAAATAAAGCTATTGTTGTCTTTTCATTTCCTTTGTGGGGAAATGTGTTTCAGTTTGTGTATCCTCCAGTGTACGTTTTCATCTGACGAAGGGGGCCTATAAAATGCCATCTTTAGTCATTGGCCAGATTAGTATCTGAATAGAAAAAAATGGGTTTATTATCGCAGCACTAGGGAAAGGCATACCTTATCTTCTACTGGGGATTTTCTGAAAGGAAGATTCGGACACATCCAGCGGCTTGCTGTTATGAAACTAAAAATAACCGGTCACCTAGTTAAGAGGCCATTTGATTACGTTTACACAAACTAAATTTCTGTTTTTATAAGTTAAAAAACAACATTACATAAACTTGGAAAATGGTGTATAATTTCATTATTTCGATGCACGTTTTTGTCTACACTACATGCTGATAGAATAATATGAAGGTGGAAACACTCACAATGAAATTGTCAAATGAAATTGAACTTCTGTTTCACAATTTTTCTTTTTCTTTTTCCTTTTTTTCTAATGAAATGATCACAATACTTGCCTTTATAGAGGCTTATTACATTACTCTTACTCTTAAACAACTCATAAATGTATCTAGCATTTCAAGGAGATACATTCATTGAATTTACAAAACATTGAACTAGACATAGAAACATGAATCTAAACATACAAGAACATTCTAGATGCATGTAGGACATTCAAGAATTTGGATTAATTACTAACACATGTCACCCGATCTGTAACTTCTAGTTTGCCCTTGTGCAAGATGACCTGAACACCATACTGTGGCTGCTGGGTGATGACAGTGAAAGGAGCATGCACATAAGATGGAGAGAGCTCGAATGTGAATTGCTGAAGTATCATGGCGAGCACCATCTTTGCCTCCATCATTGCGAAGTTCTGGCCAATGCATATACGAGGGTCCCATCCGAATGGTAAAAAGGAGACTCGGTTTTTGGTGGCCTTGGACACTCCCTCAGCGAACCTCTCTGGCTTGAACTCCTCAGCATCCTCGCCCCACAGTTCATTATCATGGCGGATGAAGAGAGTCGGCACTGAGAGCTAGACTCCAGGGGGTATGGCAGCTTCCCCAGTTTTGTTTCCTCGTGAACCTTCCGTTGCAGCTCGATCACCGGTGGGTATAGCCTTAGGACCTCATTCAAGATCATCGTGACCTGATTGTGACAAATCCGCAAAAGAAGTCATATGGTAGAGATGTGTAAGTATGATTATGATGTTAAAGAAAGACTACTACAATGAAATCAATATCCACAAAGAGAATGAAATTGATTGTAATTATCTAGTAAAAATGGTTTGTGACTATCGTCCAAAAAATCAAGTTCTTGTCCTGAGGAGAAATCCAAGTTCTATCCAAGGTGAGAAGAAAACGCTCCTGTCAATTCATTGTCGTGTTCATCTTCATAGGATAGCATTATTTTTAACCAAACGTTCCGTCCACAAAGGATAGCAAACGAGCATCTAGTAAGAATAGAATGATTTTAATGTGTCATGTGATAAAAAATGCTCGCGAAGAACGCTTCAGATTGGACCTATTATGTAATATTTGGGTATTAAAAAAAAAAGGTCAAAAGGTCAAAAAGCAGAATAGTGGGAGCTTCAGCTCATTTAAGCCGAGGGCATGCTCGGCCGAGGAAGGGAGAAAGGAAAAGAAACAAAGAGAGGAAAAGAGAAGGAGGAAGAAGAAGAAGAAGAAGAGAAGAAGATTTTGCACCGCGGGACCTTGCCAAGCCGATTTGACTTCATATTGCAACACCCGGTAAGCATTCGCACCCCTCATTCGTCCGATCGGAGAAATTTTCAGATTTAAGGTTTAAATTCTGAAATTTGGCAAATTCAAGCCACGAAGTCCAATTTTTAAGTCATTGAGCTACGTATATATATCAAATTGGTATTTTAAGGTGTCGTGGAGCCGTGGGATTTTACGGATCTTAATTTGGACTTACCGTTTGCCCGAAACGAATTTTTGAAGTTTTCCGCGTTAGGTGAACAGTACACGTCCGGCAACCTTCAAACCATATTTCGTCGGTTTTCGGCTCAATTTTGGGACGGCCAAGCTGGGGCTTTAGTAATACCCTGAACGGGCTTTCTTTTGACTATAAGTTTGCATGGATCGGAGTTCGATGAAGAAAATTATGGCACAATCAAGTTTCGCGTTCAAATTTCGCGTTACGGATAATTTTGAATACCGCTTCGGTTGTGAGTTTTGTTAGCACGCAGGAGTCTTTTCGTTAGCGTTTAAGCTTATTATAGCCGTTTCGTAGTCATCGTAGCATTTTACTTAGTGTTGATGTCAATTCTCGTTTAATTGATAGGATTACAAGATCGTCGGCGAGTTTAGCCACATTGTTTGGTTATGGAGCATTCCCAGGTGGGTGATACTATCTCTTCTTTGATTTTGTAAAACCCATATCTCGAAGAAATTTTGATTCAATATAGATATATATATATATATATATATATATATATATATATATATATATATTGAAATTAAAAGAGTATTCGGTTGCATAAATTAGGATCGAGCATTTACTACTTTTTAGTATTTGAGAATGATTTGAAAATCGTTTTTGAAAATATATTGTGAAAGGATACATGTGTATCGTGTTACGAATTAGTTTTGAAATGATTTAAGAAATGCTCTACGAAACGTATTTCTGACGGATGAGCTGTGGTTGTTTTTTTTTTTTTTTTTTTGGTTGTTCACTCCTCTCTTTTCCTAATCTTTTCAAGTTCTTTGGTTGGTAGCCAATAGAGAGAGAGAGTGATGTCATGGGGATTTTTTTATGGTTTGAGGCTACGTTCTTGGGTTGGAAGGACGGCCGTGTCATCCCCCATCCTAGTAGGTTTCGGGGTGTGATATTATGCGTCCCGCTCTCAACAAAAGAAGAAAAGAGCATTGAACTTACAATCTTGGGGTGGCCTAAACCATCAAGGCCAGGTTTTCTGCTTCCAAAGATTTGGAGGACCTCCTGCCTAGCTCGGGCTTGCCAATCCGAGTGCACGCTCAACAAGACGATGGTCCAAACCAGCAAGACCGAAGTGGTCTCTTGTCCGGCGATGTAGAAAGTCTTGCACTCCTCGATCACGTCGTGAATGCTCATCCCGACATTCTCTTTTATGTTTGACTCCAGCAACAGCCCCAGCAGATCATCGCCAGCACCTTCCCCTGCCCTCATTGCTTTCTCTCTTCTGCAGACGATGTCCATGAGCAGAGCCAGCAGTTCCTTTTCTATGTTCTTCATCCTCCTGTTCATATTAGTCGGCACAAACCTGCGAAATATTGAAACAAATAATTGGATTCTTTAGAATGTCATGATTGTAAGCCATAAGCTCATTTAGATCCAATTATCATATGAATGATGAAAGATTTTACCTCCAGCCCGGGATGTAGACCGATTGAAGGGCTTTAATTGCGAGAAGGGCTTGTTCCTCCTGAAGTTCAAAGATCCTTTTGCCTTCTTCAAAGCTACTGCCAAATGCTGTCAGAGAGATCACGTCACGGGTCAAATTTTGAAGGTCGACCCACGCATCAACCTCGCACGATCTCTCTACTGGTACCATTTTCTCCCATCTATCTACCACTACAAAAAAAGCCGGGTTTTGCCACGAATTTTGCCACGAAAAATTTCGACAAAATTCGTGGCAAAATGAATTTGCGACGGAAAAAAATTCGTCGCTAATAGGCCGTCGCAAAATTTTGCTACGGAAAATTCCAATTTTCGTGGCTAATTTGCGACGAATTTTTTTCGTCGCAAAATTCGTCGCTAATTATTCGTGGCAAAATTCGTGGCTAATTTTGCAACGAAAAATAATTCGTCGCAAAATTCGTCGCTAATTATTTGTGGCAAAATTCGTGGCTAATTTGCCACGAATAATATTCGTGGCAAAAATCCGTCGCTAATTTGCCACGAATAATATTCGTGGCCAATATCCGTCGCTAATTTGCCACGAATATTTTTCGTGGCAAATATCCGTGGCTAATTTGCCACGAATATTATTCGTGACAAGAATCCGTCGGTAATTTGCCACGAGATCTATTCGTGGCAAAAGTCGTCGCTATTATTTTGATTTATTTTTTGGTCGCGAAATTGCGACGAAATATTTTCATGGCAAAAAGTCGTTGCTAATTATCACGTGGCTAATAAAAAAAAAAATTTTCAACGAGTTTATTCGTGGCTAATTTGCCACAAAAAAATTCGTGGCTAAATTCGTGGCTAATTTGCCACTGGAATTATTCGTGGCAAAATTCGTGGCTAAAATTCGTGGCTAATTTGCCCGCAAATTTTTTTTTTTATCAGTATTTTGCCACGAAAAATTTTGACTATTGCGGCCTACATTATTCGAAAACAAATTTGGCGACGAATTTTAATGAATACTTTAGCGACGAATGTTGTTTAGGGACGATTTCGATTTGAAATCTGATTAACATTGATAGAAAATCACAGTCAAGACAAGAACAAACCCCAAAAAGAAAGAAATGAAACAATGTTCTAAATTAGCGAGTTCGCAAACTGTTGTGGCAAACTATTGATCTTGCCAAGAAGTTCTTTCACGTTGTGGCAAACTGTTGCGGCAAACTATTGATTTCCAAGAATCGAAGTCCTGTCCATCTGCAGCGCAAACATCACAATATCAAACTCCTAACCCCTGTTAATTTTTTCACATCTATTCAACAGCAGAAGCACAAAGATATAAGTACCTCTTGGAAATTTAAACTAGCAAGGATCATCATCATCAGCAGCATCAGCATCAGCATGAGCATCAGCATCATCATCATCATCATCATCATCATCATCATCATCATCATCATCATCAGGAATCTCATTATCATCATTATTGTGGCCATCACCTACTGGATTAGTAGGAGGTACAGGAGGACCGTCATCAGCTTCGAGGTTGAGGTGTTGCATGATCAATTGCAAACGTTGGTTCACTCCTTTCATTTCTTCGTCCTTCTGTACAAGTAATTGTTTCATTTCTTCGTCTTTCTGTACAAGTAACTGTTTCATTTCTTCATCCTTCTGTACCAGTAATTGTTTCAAGCGGTTCAATTCTTGGTCCGTTCGCTCCTCGTGTTGTGCCCTTAAAAAAGCCGCACTGGAGGATGAAGTTGCAGCAGCCGGCATTCTGTACATCCTTGACAAGGATCCCATCCCAAATATTTGACCTCTTCTCATTCCACCCGATGCCTCCATCCATAATGCCATACTGTCAACCGATGGCTCGGACGCAGCAGCACCATCACCATCACCATCACCATCACCATCACCATCACCACTAGCAGCAGCCGTGCTCATTACAAGTTCATCATATTTGTCCTACATTAACAATATTAATAAAAATAAAAAAAAACTTCATATATATAAATACAAAATATAACCTTACATACCTTAATAACTTTTGCTCGATTGCCGATCCATGTCTTATCTTTTTTCTGAAAGGTGCGTTCAAATGTAGCCATAAATGTTGGTTCCGTCCCCAATTCATCTGCCTACAAAATATAAACATAAATGAAATGAGTAATTATTGATTTAACTTTACAACATGTTTAAAAGACTTACCATTCTTTTTCTATGCTCCCCGATATTAATAGAGCCCCCAGCATATGTGGCAGACTCTTCACTAGAACTAGAAGCTCGATTCTTCTTATTAATTTCACTGATTTGCTTATGCTTTTCGGTGTCCCAAATTCTTTTGATTTCCGCCCAATTGTCAGCTGTAATAAAATCCGGCTTTTCCTGTCTTCTCTTTGCTCTATTCATCACATTTCGCATGTGATCACCGGCTTTCTTCTTAAAAATTCTTTTAACTTCTTTCTCTTCCGCTTCATCCCACCTGAACTTCCGCTGCAAGCAATCAATAGAAAAATAATTGTACGCTCAGTATGCTAAATCGAACTTAGTTTGTGAGGAAATAAAAGGACAAAACTTACCTTGAACTCATTCCACCACAATTCCTTTACTTCTTTTGGAGCAGTGGTCCAACTACTAAATTGCCCCATCCAATAGTTATCGATTATTTTATTAAGTCTCCTCACAACACGCGTAGAATCCGTGAATCTGCAAACGGGTTATAACTCATTTCAACATACGTAGCATCCGTAAAGCATACAGACAATTCAGTTGACATCCATAATAATTCACATATATTTAAAAAAATGAAATACTTACGAATCTCCAAATGGGGCTATCATGAATCGGGTATCTTCTTCATAATTCGAGTGTTGCGTTGAAGAAGAAGAAGGTGGAACCGAAGGCGATGGAACTGAAGTAAATTCAGTTCGCATTTGAGGGTCGGAGGAAGGGCCAATAAGTCCATGTACTAGTTGAGGGTTAGATAAAAGGGCAGGGGCAGGGGAAGCGGAAAGGGATGGGGATGAGGACGAGGAAGAGGAAAGGCCTGATCTTCTTTGTGAAGCATCATCACGACGCATGTGACTTCCACGTTTATACTAAAAGGTGCAAGGTTAGACAAAAATAAAGAAAATTATGAACATATATTAAGGACTATATTAAGGACACATAATGACGTACGTCGTGAAGCTTACCATTTTGTTATTGAGAGCAAGAGAGATGGCCCCTGAAAAAAAGGAAGCTGTCCGGAAATGTCTACGAGCTAAATTTCTGGTCCTACAACGGTAAAAAAGGAAAAACTCATCTAGCTGGTCAGGGTCATTAAATTTTCAGTTAATTTCTGTAATTTGACTTGTTTTAAAATTTAATTGCATGTTTTGAAAGCCTTAGAACTTAATAAGTTACACTTTCACAACAAATTTTATGATGCAAGTAAATCACTAAGTTCTGTTCAAAATGAATATATCAACTTCAACAAGAAAATCAATAAATTTTTACCTCGAAGGGAGCCACTCCAGAAAACGCAAATGTCACGGAAATAGTTTTACCCCGATGGCCAAAGCTTCAACCTAGGCCAAAAAAGGTTTGGAAATAGTTTTCAAACCTAGATAATGATAAAATGACTCCGAAACGAAAAAAAAAAAAGTGGAAATGTCACGGAAAACACTATTCACCAGAATCATTTTTTGCCAAAAAACCCATCTAAACGACTCCAAAAAGCCAAAAAATGGCTTGCGTCACGGCCATGGGCGGTGAATTTCGATCAGCGGGCCGTTTCCACTTGACCGACCAAATTTCAGCTCATTCCGACAACATTTCACCTTATTTCGACCAAATTTCAAACGAATTTCAACTAAATTTCAACCTAAATCCGACCAAATTTCAACCTAAATATGAGAAATTGATTATGTTTCGTTCTGTTTCGTGGGCGAACGAAACAGATTGGGTCTGTTTCGCCCACGAACAGAATCAAATTCGTGGGCGAAACAGAAACAGAACCATTCTGTTTCGCCCACGAACAGAATCAAATTCGTGGGCGAAACAGAATGGTTCTGTTTCTGTTTCGCCCACGAATTTGATTCTGTTCGTGGGCGAAACAGACCCAATCTGTTTCGCACAGAAGCCAACACAACACCCAATACAGAAGTGCCCACGAAAGCCAACACAGAAGCAGAAGCCGAAGCACAAAAGCGCCCACGAAACTGGTTTGTTTCGCACACGAATAGAACCAAATTCGTGGGCGAAACAGACCCAATCTGTTTCGTCCACGAACAGAACGAAGCAGACCCAACACAGAAGCAGAAGCAGAAGCAGACCCAACACAGAAGCCAGCCAACACAGGCGGACGCGGACCCAACACGAAGCCACCCAACACGAAGCGAAGCCACAGTGGAAGCTTAGCGGAGGCTGACGCGCGCGAAGCGTGCCACGGAGCCAAAAGCATAGAAGCAGAAGCACAGAGCAGAAGCAGACCCAAACGTAGACCTAACACATACATTGAACAGAACCATAAGCAGACGCAAATGCCTAGAAATAACGGCGAAAAGCAGACCCAACATAAGCATACCGAACAGAAGCAGACCGAACACTCTTGGACGCCGCCGAAGAACCCAACAGAAGCAGACCGCGCGTTGGGTGTCCTCGCTTCCCAGCGTCCGTCGCCGAAGAATGCCAAGAATCGCGCCGAAGAACGCCGAAGAACTGCAACAGAGACAGAGAAAGAGGGAGAAGACAGAGACAGACAAGAGACAGAGGTAAGGTGAGAAGATAGGTTCGATCGTGAGAACAGAAAAGAAGAACCCTAATTTGTACCCGCTCATGAAGACGACGCCGTTTGTTGAATTTTCGCTGAAATTAACCACGGATTTAAAATCGTGGCAAATTAGCCACGAATCTTATTTCGTGGCTAATTTGCCAGGGATTTAGCCACGATTTCCAATCCGTGGCTAATTTGCCACGATTTTAGCCACGAATTGTTATTATATCGCGGCAAATTCGAATCGAAATATAAAATTGTCACGGTAATTTTGGGGTCTTTTTCAAATTCGTGGCTAAAATCCGTGGCAAATTTGCCACGGATTTTTGCCACGCATTTCCTGAAAAAGCCTTCAAAAGTTTTTTCATTTTAAAAAAAATCCGTGGCTAAAATCCGTGGCAAATTTGCCACGGATTTTTGCCACGAATTTCCTAAAAAAGAATACAATACAATAGATTTTTTGTTTAATAAAAAAATCCGTGGCAAATTTGCCATGGAATTTAGCCACGAATTTCCTAAGAAAGAATACAATAGAATTTTTTTTAATAAAAAAATCCGTGGCAAATTTGCCACGTATTTTAGCCACGAATTTCCTGAAAAAGCCTTCAGATTTTTTTTTAAAACAAATCCGTGGCAAATTTGCCACGGATTTTTGCCACGCATTTCCTAAAAAAGAATACAATAGAATTTTTTTTTAAACAAAATCCGTGGCTAAAATCCGTGGCAAATTTGCCACGGATTTTTGCTACGAATTTCCTCAAAAAGCTTGCACACGATTTTTTTTTAAAAAAAAATCCGTGGCAAATTTGCCACGGATTTTTGCCACGAATTTCCTAAAAAGGAATACAATAGAATTTTTTTTTAAAAAAAATCCGTGGCTAAAATCCGTGGCAAATTTGCCACGGATTTTAGCCACGAATTTCCTAAAAAAAGAATACAATAGATTTTTTGTTTAATAAAAAAATCCGTGGCTAAATTCCGTGGCAAATTTGCCACGGATTTTTGCCACGAATTTCCTAAACAACCCTACACACTATTTTTTGTTTTAAAATAATCCGTGGCTAAAATCCGTGGCAAATTTGCCACGAATTTCCTCAAAAAGCTTGCACACGATTTTTTTTTAAAAAAAATCCGTGGCTAAAATCCGTGGCAAATTTGCCACGGATTTTAGCCACGAATTTCCTGAAAAAAGAATACAATAGATTTTTTGTTTAATAAAAAAATCCGTGGCTAAATTCCGTGGCAAATTTGCCACGGATTTTTGCCACGGATTTCCTCAAAAAGCCTGCACACGATTTTTTTTTATAAAAAAATCCGTGGCTAAAATCCGTGGCAAATTTGCCACGGATTTTTGCCACGAATTTCCTAAAAAGGAATACAATAGAATTTTTTTTAAAAAAAAATCCGTGGCTAAAATCCGTGGCAAATTTGCACGGATTTTTGCCACGAATTTCCTAAAAAAGAATACAATAGAATTTTTTTTTTAAAAAAATCCGTGGCTAAAATCCGTGGCAAATTTGCCACGGATTTTTGCCACGAATTTCCTAAAAAAGAATACAATAGAATTTTTTTTAAAAAAAAATCCGTGTCTAAAAATCCGTGGCAAATTTGCCACGGATTTTTGCCACGAATTTCCTAAAAAAGAATACAATAGAATTTTTTTTTAAAAAAAATCCGTGGCTAAAATCCGTGGCAAATTTGCCACGGATTTTTGCCACAAATTTCCTAAAAAAGAAAACAATAGAATTTTTTTTAAAAAAAAATCCGTGGCTAAAATCCGTGGCAAATTTGCCACGGATTTTAGCCACGGATTTCCTGAAAAAAGAATACAATAGATTTTTTGTTTAATAAAAAAATCCGTGGCAAATTTGCCACGGATTTTTGCCACGAATTTTTGCCACGAATTTCCTAAAAAAAGCCTAAATCATGCGTACGGCCTTTGTTTACGAAATCCGTGGTAAATTGCCACGGATTTTTGCCACGAATTTCGTAAAATTAATTTTTGGCTTTTCATGAAAAATTACTTAGCCTTGTGAGTGGGATTTTTTCATGAAATTCGTGGCTGAATTTCGTGGCAAATTTTCCACAGATTTTAGCCACGAATTTCATTTCTACTATCCCACACTCGCGTAATTCATTTTTTTTTTCCGGACAATGACGTTTCATTAACAATAATAGCAATAATAATATTCAACAACAATTACAATAATAATAATAATAATAACTACCACAACAACAACAATAACAACAATAACAACAACAACAACAATACTAATAATTACGGCAACAACAACAATAATAAATATGACAATAACAATAAACTTTGTCATAATAATAATAATAATAATAATAATTACGACATAATTAGTAAAAAGTCTCAAAAATCTAAATCTTCGTCTTCACCTTCGTCTTCATCTTGATCTTAATCTTCTTGTTCAGCATCATCGTCATCATCGTCATCATCGTCGTCGTCGTCATCGTCATCATCATCGTCATCGTCATCGTCATCGTCGTCGTCGTCATCATCATCATCATCATCATCATCATCATCATCATCCTCTGTCTGAAAATCAGCTTCTGCAACACCTTCTAAATTTGATTCGCGAATTTCAGTTAGATCTACATCTATCATTGCTCCACATGGATCTCGTAGAGTAGGAATATTATATTCCTCAGTTTGAACCGCATTATAAACTTCCTCTTGTTGATATACTGTATCATTCCAGTGTTCCTCGATTTTTCTTCGTGCTTTAGTTTTACATACAGCCCACCAATCAGTTTTGTCACGTTTCAAACTAGGATATGATGCATAATATACTTGAATTGCTTGTTGTGCCAACACAAATGGTTCATATTTCTTATACCTTTTCTTGTGATTTATTTCAACCAAATTAAACTTCGTATGTACCTTCGTTCCTTTGACGGGGTCGAACCACATGCACTTAAATAACACAACCCGCATTAATGGTCCGGGGTACTCTATCTCGATGATTTCATCCAACAAGCCATAAAAATCATCTTTTGAACTACCACAATTGGATGACCGAATACACACACACCACTATTCATTGTGGCTTTTTCCATTCCATATTCTCGAGTGTGAAAATTGTACCCGTTTATGAAATATGCTGGCCAACTTCGTATGATTGACTGTGGACCCCATGACAGATAATATAGTAATCCTTGCTCTTCAACTTGATCATGATTACTGTGAACTTAAGATTACACACGCAAAGTCAATAATATATATTTAAATGATGTATAAAATATTAATAACTTGGTTTTGGTTTATAGGCAACTTACATATGTTTTGAACCATGCTGCAAATTGTTCATCGCACAAACGGTCGAACTCATTTGGTGATAGTCCATACATTGAATTTTGAAAAATCCTATTAACAATTTACATTTAAATATTAGTAAATATTTAACACGCAATACATATATTTGCAAAAATATACACTTACTGGAAGTATGGCTCCACTTCTGGACAGTTCAGTAAAATATAGGTATGGGCTGCCTGCCGTTCTTCGCCTGTTAAGCAACGAAACTGACATGCGCCGCTTGGTCGACCGAGATAATTGAAAATAGAGAATGATTTGCAATTGGGATCGATGGGACCCTCATCATTTCTTCCTGCTCTCTGCCTCTTGCACTGCACGTGCGGCTCAAAATAGTATGATGCAAATGTTGTCACTTCTTCCACAATATATGCATTACAAATTGAAGCTTCAACACATGCCTTATTCTTCACTTTTTTCTTCAAATGATATAAGAACCTTGTTGCAATAGAAAGAAGTTTATCAGAACATAATATATAATAAAATATTTTGAATTTTATTTTGAAAAAAATTTTACCTCTCAAATGGATACATCCATCGAAATTGGACGGGATCTGCAACTTTAGCCTCATAAGGCAAGTGAACTAGGAGATGCTCCATTGAATCAAAAAACGCTGGAGGGAATATCCTTTCTAAATTGCAAAGAATAATTGGAATGTCTCTCTCCAGTTTCTCCATGTGTGATACTTTTAACACTGTTGAGCAAATATCATGGAGGAAATTACTTAACTCTGTAATGGCGCCCCATACAAAGTTTGGTAGAAGTTCCTTCAAAGCTATTGGAATTAGTCTTTCCATTAATATGTGACAATCATGACTCTTTAATCCTGTCAACTTGCATTCGTTCAAATCAACACATCTCCCGATGTTCGAAGCATATCCATCAGGAAAACGCACAGATTTCAACCATTGACAAACGACTCGTCTCTGCTCCTTATCCAATGTATAAACTGTTTTTGGTTTTGGTCCCCTGCTGCTTGCATCCACATCTAATGTTGGCCGATCACAAATATCTCTCATATCTTTTCTTGCATTCAAGTTGTCTTTTATTTTTCCCGTGACATCCATCACAGTATTTATGACATTGTCGAAAACATTCTTTTCAATGTGCATAACGTCAAGATTATGATGAATAAGATGAGCTTTCCAATATGGTAGATCCCAAAATATACTGCGTTTAGTCCACTTATGTGCACTTTCGTACGCAATAGTTGTGCCATGAGGGTTTTCAACAACAGTTGGAAAGTCCTGCACTCGCTCCCATATTTGATCACCAGTCAACCTCAATGGTGGAGGAGTTCTTTCAATCCTATTCTTGATGAACTCTTTTTTATTCCTTCTGAATGTATGATTCATCGGCAAAAATTGTCTGTGACAGTCAAAATAGCAAGGCTTCTTACCATGTCTTAATCTGAATGACTTCGACATCTCCAAACATATCGGACATCCTAAGATCCCAGCTGTACTCCATCCAGATAACATTCCATAAGCTGGAAAGTCATTTATCGTCCAAAGAAGAGCAGCCTTCATTACAAATGTTTGATTAGTAGAAACATCATACGTAACGACACCTTCATTCCATAGCCGTTGTAACTCTTCAATCAATGATTGCATATAAACATCTATCAACTTTTTCGGATTTTGCGGCCCGGTCACGATCAATGTAAAAAACATATAAGGTGTCTTCATGCACATACCGGGTGGAAGATTGTACGGAGTTAAGATAACTGGCCAACATGAATAACTTTTCCCTGATTTTCCAAATGGGGCAAATCCATCAGCACAGAGACCTAACCTAATATTTCGAGGCTCTATCGCAAATTCAGGGTATGTTCTATCAAAATGTTTCCATGCCTCTGCATCTGAAGGATGACACATTAGACTCTCTTCTGTTTCATGATTTGCATGCCAAGTCATGTGTTCAGCAGTGGCTTGAGACGCATAAAGCCTTTGTAATCTGGGGATTAAGGGCAGATAAAACATTTGCTTGCATGGTCTACACTTCTGATTACGACCTTGCCTCCTGTTCCTGTTAATCTTGTACCTAGGTTGGCTACAGAATTTGCAAGATTCTGCATTTTCATCATCTCTCCAATATAACATACAACCCCTACTACATACATCAATCCTTTCAACTGGAAGACCTAAGTTATCCACTAACTTCTTCATATCGTAAAAATCACTTGGCATTATGTTATCAGGAGGCATTGCTTCTCGCATTACTTCAACAAAAGAGTTAAAGCAATTCTCAGACACATTATGCTCTGCCTTGATATTTAACAATCTTGCTGTCGCTGATAACTGAGTATGATTGTCACAACCTGCCCATAAAGGTTCATCTGCTGCTTTCAACACTTCCCAGAACTGATTAGATGGAAACGTTTCATTACACACATTCTCATCAAAACCTGTTACTCCTATCTCTTCAAATTGTTCAAGTCTTGGAGTAAAACTAGTACTTGCATGGTTTGGATCTGAATTATGATCAGCTGCATCAATCACCATCCTCTGGTATGGGTCAGTTGGTCATAATAGCTACATTCTTCCCTAACTGAAAATTGGTCACTTATTCGATATCCTTCATCAGATATAAATGGTTCACCATGACAAGTCCAATTATAGTAGTTCGGAGTAAACCCAAATCTACAAAGATGTTCTCTAACTGTATCACATACATGAAATTTACCATTACTGCACTTTCTACACGGACACCTTAACTTATTTCCATCCATCAACTCATATTTACTACTAGCAAAGTCCAAAAATAGTTCCAACCCAGTACGAAACTCATCGGTCAATCCTCGACGTCCAGGTAAGTTCTTATTATACATCCAAGCCCTGTCTCTTTGCATTGTTTATATAAAAATAACAAAATCTCGTAAAATATTAATGCCAAAAAATTTTCGATATTAAAACCATAAAATTCTAAAAATTAAAATTTTATTTTTGCCTAAACAATTATTTTGAAATTGAAAAAATTAAAACAATTGACTTACCCAAGTATTTGACTGAAATCTTTGTAGTACAAAGTGCTCAATTTGATGAGAATTGCAACGTTCACTTCATCCGCGAGACTTTCAAACGAATACGTACCTACAAAAAAAAATTGACTTCAGATTTTATTTTTTTATAATAATTTTTTTTCCCCAATTTTTTTTTAATAATTCTTTTTTCGAATTTTTTTCCCAAATTTTTTTTCCTTCATTTTTTTCTCCGGTCGCTGGTCCGGCGACCGGCCGGCGAGTTGGACCTCGCCGGCCATGGCCAGATTTGGACCTCGCGGCGAGGTCTAGCGGCGGCCATGGCCGCTCGACCTCGTCGCCCAGATCTGGGCGGCGAGGTCGAGCTTGGGCCTCGCCATGGCCGCCGCTGAACCTCGCGGCGAGGTCGAGCGGCCATGGCCGCCGCTGGACCTCGCCGCGAGGTCCAGCGCCGGGCCCCATGGCGAGGCCGCTCGGCCTCGCCCAGATCTGGGCGAGGTCCAGCGGCCCCGCCCATGGCCGGCGAGCCTCGCCGGTCGCCGGTTGCCGGACCGGCGACTGGCGACGAAGTCAGAAAAAAAAAAGAGAAAAAAAACTCAATAAAATAACAAAAATTTGAAAATAGTTTTGCCCAAATTAATCACACCACTTACCAGTAGAAAAGGTTCACCGAGATAGATTTTTGCGCGTGCGGAGAGATTTATCGAGAGGAAGGGATAACAGCGAATAGGGAGAGGAAGGGAGAACAGCTAATAGGGATAAGAGGAATTAGCAGAGAGAGAGAAATTGGGTCTACAAGTAGAGGAGAATTAGCGACGAATAACAATTCGTCGCTAATTCCGTCGCAAAATAACCACGAATTTTTTTTCGTGGTAAATTTCGTCGCAAGTTAGCGACGACATTTCTTTTTCGTCGCAAATTAGAAACGGAAAAACATTCGTCGGCAATTTCGTCGCAAATTAGCCACAAATTTTTTTTCGTGGCAAATTCCGTCGCAAATTAGCGACGAATGTTTTTTCGTGGCAAATTCCATCGCAAATTAGCCACGAATTATTTTTCGTGGCAAATTCCGTCGCAAATTAGCCACGAATTTTTTTCGTGGGAAAATCCGTCGCAAATTTTCCACGAATTTTTTTTCGTGGTAAATTTCGTCGCAAATTTGCGACGATTTTTTTTCCGTGGCAGATTCCGTCGCAAATTAGCCACGAATTTTTTTTTGTCGGAAAATTTCGTCGGAAATTTGCGACGAATTATTTTTCGTGGCTAATTTGCGACGGAAAATATATTCGTCGCAAATTGCGTCGCAATTAGCCACGAAAAATAATTCGTCGTAAATTTCCGTGGCTAAACCCTTGTTTTTTTGTAGTGTACCATTTCAGTGCAACTTGAATAAAAAGCGCATAAGCTGCAAGAACAACAGACCAATGCAAACAAGGAGTTACAAAGAAAATTCCTGAGGCATCAATGTGTGGGGTTCCATTTATTTGACCATAGTATAGTTTCATGTACCTTCAACTTCTCCATGTGGAATGCCGGATTAATGATCTTCCGGTGCCGAGCCCATTTCTCGCCCTCGTGGTTTGCGAGTCCATCTGCGAGCAACTTCACCAGGGGATTGGAGGCTGGCTTGGGATAGTCGTTTATCTTGGAGAAGATCTCCTTTAGTTGTTCGGGGTTCGTTATGTTCACTCTCGGTGTTGGGCCTATCCGCATGAACGAGTCTTTGCCTGCAATGCACCCAGCAAAATCAGAGCCAAATTGCCAAATGAATTACAATTTGAGCTGTTTTTTAGGAATGCATGTAATTGTGCGATTTAATTCGTTTCGCAAGGGGAAAAGATGGTTATGATTATTAGGGATAAGTGCACTAGAAGTCTTAAAACTTGTCAGGAAAGTGCAATTGAGTCCTAAAACTTTTAAAAAATGCGATCAAGTCCTAAAACTTATCACGAAAATGCAATCGAGTCCTAAAACTTTCAAAAAGTGCAATCGAGTCCTAAAACTTAACACAAAAGTGCAATCAAGTCCTAAAATTTATCATAAAAGTGCAATCAAGTCCTAAAATTTTCAAAAAGTGCTATCAATGAAAGGATTTGATTGAACCAATTTGACAAGTTTTAGGACTTATTTGCACTTTCGTGACAAGTTTTAGGACTTGTTTGCACTTTTTGAAAGTTTTAGGACTTAATTGCACTTTCCTAACAAGTTTTATGACTTAAATGCACATTATGAAAATTTTAGGACTCAATTGCACTTTCGTGACAAGTTTTAGGACTTTGAATGCACTAATCCCTAATTATTATCAACAAGTCTTTTCTACACCAAAAATCTTTTATGATGATAGTCGATGAATGTCAACAAAATTTTACTAATCTCATTCACAAATGGCCTCATATGTCAAGATAGAACATTCTACACTTGTGACTAGTCTAGACTTTAGGCATTGGGTCTGTTTTCCTTAGGCAAAAGGACACTATTGGTGCCATAACTTGTGTACAGAGATCACTTTGGTGCCATAACTTTTTTTCGGATCACTTTGGTGCCAATTTTTTTGAAAAACGATCACTTTAGTGCCAATGCTGACATGTCCGCTGGAAATCTGACGTGGCTCTT